TAGACGTAGCTTTCTACCTACTTAGAAGTTATACTTAAATACTTATCTTTATTCTATCTAGAGATAGATAGATAAATAAAGTAAGTTAATAGCTTTATTAAAGTATACCTCTAGGCCTTTATAAACTTCTACTAAGATAATTAGATATAATAGCTACTACTTATAGAGTTTATAATAAATAATATTATATCTAAGACTATAGAAGTATCTCTATTCTTTGTGAATTATAGTTTCTATCTAAGACTAGAGGTTAAGCTAGCGTAGCTAGTACTACTAAACCTATCTACTATATAAAAACGTAAGTTCTTTAGAGCTAATAATATAGCTAACTAGTTTAGCTATATTCTATTCTAACTAAAAGTACTAGCTATCTAGTCTATTACTTAGTATAAATACTATATAAATAAGAGACGTAAAAACGTACTATAATTTTTAATAGAAGATCTTATCTATATTAATATATAGAATATAAAGATAAATAGACCTATAAAAAAGAAAAATAATAAGCTTATAGAGCTATATAAGGTATTAAAGATCTATAACTAATTATATATACTAGAACTTCTATTACGCGTATAAATCTTTCTAGTATTCTATAACTTACTACTATGCCTCTAGTATACCTCTATAGAGCTTCTAGGTTAATAGGTAATTAATAAAGTAGAGTTGCGTTATCTTTATAAAAGAGTTCTTAAAAGAGAAGATAGAATAGAGAAACTTACTAAGAAGTAGAAGTTTAACGTAATACTAGACTACTATAATAAGTAACTAGAACTATAGTATCTTATTAAATAGAAGAACTACGCTATAACGTAGTAACTAGTATTAGACCTAAAGAGTTAGAATAACGCGCTACTAAGATTCTATACCTAACACCTAGATAAGCTAGGTTTACTATAATAAGTAAAAAGGCTATAAACGCTAGTTAGTCTAAATTTTTTATTATTTTATAGGCTATCTAAGACGTATAGTATACTAGAAGAAAGGTACTATTATAGTACTAACCTGCCTACTTAGTTATATAATCTTAGCTACCTTAGCGCCTTAGTATAGTAGATATCTACTCTACGCCTCTATTTCTTTATAGCTTAATATTATATAACTTATTATATATCTTAAATTCTTATTTCTTATTCGCGCTATAATAGCTCTAGAAGTACTAGCTTTTTCTCTATCTTTAAGAAAGAAAGTAGCTTCTTTAAAGAGTAATAGAAGCTATATATACTTAGAAATAGTTATCTAGTTCTTTCTAGTAAGACTACTCTTCTTAATAAATAGTTATAGCTTTTTTCTAGAGTTATTATTAACTCTATAATAGTATTTAGCTATCTTTTATTAATACTTATTAGTCTTATATATTATATAATTATTAAAAGTATTAACGTACTTTACTATTAAACTATCTATACTATTAAACTATCTAAAAATACTAAGTCTCTACTAAATACTACTATCTCTATTATAAAGCTCTCTATAAATATCTAATTAACTTTAGATAAACTCTAGATATAGCTTACGCTCTAGGCTATTTAATAAAATCTAGAGCTAAGCTTACAATACGCTATAGCTCTCTATATTATACCTTAAGAGCGCGTTTGTAATTAACGTAATAGAGTAACTTAAAAACGTAAAAAGATACCTAATTAAATAAAGCTTATAAAGAATAAAGAGTAGGTAATAGTTAAGTATATACTTAACCTAGACACGTAAGAATTTACCTCTTAGCTTGCTACTATTTAAGATATAGCTAATAAGCTACTTACTAAGTAGAGAGAAAAGATTATAGGTAAGAACTAGCTAAACTACTTTATTACGCGCTATTCTAAGCTTAAAACACGGCTTAATTACTAGTACAACTATTAGAGAGTAAAGTAAGAAGATTCTATAATTATTTAGACGTAGTTTAACCTAGTAGGTAATATAAAGGTAAAGTATAGTATTACTAATAAAGATATATATAATTTTAACGAATCTAGCTTTATAATAGAAATAATATTACCTTAGGTAGTAGTTACTAGCTCTAAGAGATAATTATAACTAAAGAGTCTTTAACTAGGTAATTATAAGTAGATTTTAGTAATTATAATAGTAAGAGTAGTAGGTAATATATAGGTTCTACTATTTCTTATTATTATTATAAGTAAGAACTACCTCTTAGCGTAGTATAAAGGTAGCTAGCTACTACGTAACTAGGTTATAGCTATCTCTAAAAGTAGCTAGATAATAAATAAAGTTAGTATTATATAGTTAAAGTACTTTAACGCGTATACTAAAGGTTGTGTTATAGGTGTATATTATCTACTAATTTTAGATAGCTATAAAAGCTATAGCTCTATTAAATTCTAGTAGTACTATAAGAAGAATAAAATTATAGCTCTCTATATACTAGTATATTTATTATACCTACTATAGCTACTTAACGTTAGCTACTTCTTACTATTAAAAGTAGTATATAGCTACTAAGTTAAGATTCTAATATATAGCTATATTAACTATATTATAAAAACTAAGTTTCTACTTATACTTTATATAGCTTTTTACGTATTAATTATAAATAATAATATTAGAGTAGAATTTAGAGATGCTAGCTTAGTTCTATTTAACCTAGATTTAATAGTATTAAAGCTTAAAGTTTAATTACGTACGCTAATACTCTCTACTAATAATACTACTACCTAGAAGTATAAAATACCTAGTAATTCTACTAAATTAAAGTTATAATTAACTCTAATTTAGAGAAAGATTATGTAGTATTTTAATTTGTTACTAACTTATATTATTAAGTTACTTAATAAGCTTAAGAAAGGTAATAAGCTAATAGCGTATTAGCTAGTACTTATAGAGTCTAAAGTTATCTAGCTTTAAGTAGCTAATGTATAGAAAAAGAAGCGTAATTCGCGTAAAAGAAAGTAAATTTAGAAAGAAAATACTCTTATAATTAAAGCTAGCTTATAACTAGTTACTTAAAGAGAGATTATAGATTAGAATAAGAGTAAGAAGTAGCGCGAAGAGGTAGTAGCACGTAATAGCTAGCTAGCTTAGTAACGCTATAAACGCTATAGTAAGCTAGAGTATAACGCGTAAACATGCTAGGTAGTTAAAGATAATATAGATAAGTTAGATAGCTTATCTAGATTTATTTTAAGTAGCTTAGAGTTAGAGTAATCTAAATAAGATAGTAGTATTTAGTAGAGGCTTAGTATTTTTAGACAGTTTAATAGTATAGATAGTTTAATAGTAAAGTATATTATATAGTTTTATTACTCTAGTAAAGTAATTATAGTAGAAGTTCTAGTAAGTCTTAATAGACTTTACTAGTTTAAGTATAGTAGCTATAAGGTTTCTAGAGTAACTATTAGAGTTTCTCTAAAAGTTTTCTAGAAGCTAGTAAGCTTATAAAGTATATATAGATAAGATAATATTAAGTAGAACCTCTAGAGAGCTAGCTTTTTATTACTTCTCTATAAAGCTCTTCTTATTCTAAATATTCTTCTTAGAGTTATTAAAAGCGTTATAATTCTTACTAAATATAACCTATTATACGCTAAGGTTAACTATATTATAAAAGTAGCGTAGTTACTAATAGTAGACGTTAAAGTTATACTTTTTAGCTAGAGCTTCTATTATAGTATTATTATTAGTAGTATTATTAAGAATAAAGTAGCTAAGGTATTATAGAGTTATTTTAAAAGCTTAGAGCGTATTTTCTATAATAGAGGTAATATTATTATCTAAGTACTAGCTAAGTAGTAATAAAAGCTCTAGAATATAGTTCTAGAGTACTTCTATAGAGTCTAGATAGTATATATAGATTCTAGTAAGAGCTCTTTTACTATCTATTAAAGTCTAATTATTAAATAAGATATATATAAGTAATCGTAATTAGCTAAGATAATTAATAATAGAGAGTAAGTACGCTTTATATTTATTAATAATATAGCGCTAAAGACTATTATAGAATCTCTAGAAAGCTTTTTTTACTATAAGATTAGTCTATTAGAGTATATTATAAAAAGCTAGCGCTTTAACTATACGTAGAGCTTAATTATTAGCTACTATAAAGTTAATAACTAACTATAGAAAGCTCTTCTAGTAGAAGTCTTCTACTAGAATATTTACTACTTTCTAAAAGACTTTAAAACTTTTATTTTCTTAATAGATAGCTAGAATAGAGACCTATCTACACTCTAATTAGAAATTAATCTTACTATATTTATTAAAGCTATAGTCTCTCTTATTCTTCTAGAGGTATTACGCTATTATAGTAGTAGTAAGATTAATAGTATAGAGATCTTTAGTAGCTCTATAAGTATAGTAATATTTATAGAGCTAATATAGCTTCTACTACTTTTAGTAGTAAACTTAATAGCTATACTTCTAAATCTAGCTTTTATAGAACTACTTTAGTTTATATAAAGATAACTAAAGCTTAGATATCTAACTCTAGTTAATATTATTATAATTAGAGCTATTAGTAGGTATAGATATTAAGAAGAAAGCGTTTTTAATTATATTAAGCTTAGAGAGTATATTAGTTATATAATTAGTTATATTATTATTAGAAGATAACTATAAGTCTATATTTTTAATATACTATAAGAATACTTATAAGAGATTAGTATTTATACTTTCTAAGAGCTTTAGTAATAGCTATAGAGTAATAATTAATAGAAAAAATAGTATTAAAAGTAAGAGCGCGTAGAGTAGTTAATATTAATATATTTAGCGTATTAGAGTTAACTTACTTTAGACTAGTACGATAGAGTAAGCTAATTAGAGTATAGAGATTCTAGAGCTTAGAAACTTAATACTATAGAAATTATAAAAATTATATATATAGTAACTCTATATAGTCTTATATATTTATAGTAAATTAAGAGTTATAAAATAAGTTAAGCTAAATAAATTATAGTCTTCTAGCTTATTTATTTAATAAAATTAGCTACGGTAGCTTGTTTAGCTTAATTTAAATAAACAAATTAAGCTAAACAAGTTATTAAGCCTTACTTGTTTGTTGCCCGCTCTGGGACAAACTGCGCTGTGAGAAGTTAGCTCTGTCGAAGGGTGTAGAACACGGTCTGCAATCGTACCCGTGAGACAGCTCTTGCTAAGATGACAAGAGTGGTCAGTGCAAATTAACGTTTAGCGGCCTGAGGCACTCACCCTACTCCGCCTGTGACGTCGTTAGTGAGAGCCTAGTCGGTGGAAGTTGGAAGCATACCGGAGCCAAGGACGACGATGTGGTATTCCCGCTGGCTCATACCTCAAGTGTAGCTTTTCGGAACGGAGTGGAAGAAGCTTGCGCAGGGGATGCCGCTCTCTTGTGTCCTTGGGGCGTTCGCGCCACAGGTGGCCAAGAGGCGTCTCCGCCGAGGCAAGCAGAGCCAATTGAAGCCAAAACACGGCGTCTCGTGGCAGGATCAGGTGTGCTGAGGAGGAGAGTGCTCTCGGCGTGTTACTCTGGGTCGGCGAGTGGTGCGCGCGTGCTACTTCGCCCAATAACAACGGCGGCGCTTGGTGGACGACGGGCCGCCAGTAATCAGGAGACGACGCGTGCGAGGGCGAGACTGGAATGTTGCGGCAAATATGGCGGTAGGAGGCGCAGCCCGATTTATCTGGCCCGGAGCGGATACGTCGAGGTCCGTGGTGAGGCGAGGGCGGGGGCGACGGCGGAGGCGAATATCGACATGTTAGCAGCAGGGAGGGTGGAGTAATGATCTGCCCACGCTGTGAATACGGGCGCCGTCACCTCGGCCGATGCCCGTCGTCTAAGCGAAATGCGCAGCAGGTATTAAAGGCCTGGCGCGTCCAGCTCGGTCGGAGTGTCCAGCGGCTCTGCCAGCGTCGGCTTGGCAGTGCGCACAGCCCGGGCTCGCAAGGGAGCATGTGGCGGGAATCAGACGCCGAAGTTACTTTGAAGGGCGTCGAGGATGGAGCAATCATTAAGGTATTTGGTTCTGAAATACATGGCGCAGTCCAAGAGTGCGCCATACGGAGAAGAGAGACGAAGCCTGCTACGGAATGCATCTCGATGATACTCACACAGAACGGGGCCTTCATTAACCTATCTCTAGGTTTAGAGGTGGGCCTTCGGATACAGAGCCAGCTATACACCTAGAATACAACCCATAATTTCGGTGTACGGGATTCTAGCTCTCCGTCACTTTCTCCGTCACTTGTCCGTGCGTGACATACAATTTATCACCAGGTTGTATAAGCCCTTCTCCATTAGGCATACTAACAAGCATCCTTGTCTGGTCATTCCCTTCGCTGTCTTTCTCATACACAGTGACATTGCATCCCCGCCAGTATACCGCCTGGCCTTGGCCATAAATCATTCTAACACGGTTCTTTTCCACATTCTCCCAATCTATTGTTGTGCTGAGAGGTTTTTCTTCGAAAGCCTGATGATAGATTAGACGACAAATCATGAAGGGCATAGCCATTTACTACCATCAAGATATCCTCGTCGCTAATATAGCTCCAGCCAAAACTGATCGACAAGCCCGCGCTTGCGCACTGTATTGAGCGGAAATATGTGGATGCGATCGCAGTGGCGATTTTGGAGTCTGGAGTGCTTTATTACACGGAAGGAGGGTTGCGATGATGTCGTGCGACGACTTACAGCCGGCGAGGACTTCAACAGAGGGACGTAGCGGAGGAGATAAGTTGTGTGCGATGCGAGAGGGATTCACCCCGAAAACTGCCGAACGGAGCGGGTAACGTGGAAAAGGATCGTGCTGAAATGAGGCCTGAGCAGTCAGCGAAGTGTGAAGTCTAACGAGCACAGTAAAACTCTTAGGCGTCGGTGCCCAACGCTCGAATCCACCTGAAAAACGTTTTCTAGCGTCACGTGCAGGCATTGACCACCCCGTCAAGCAATTAAACGGGTAAGGCGTCCGCTATGACGCGCATCTCCTAAGCGTATGAAATTGGAGTCGCTGCATGGCCCTCTCGCTACCTGCATATAGCCTTAGGTTTTCTGAAACGATGCTTGGAAGGGATATAATAGTCGTGGCATGTTCTTATTTGTGTGGCAGATTGATAGGTCACAACGACCGATTTATATGGGCTAAGATTATCACCCCCTTGCTCTGCACGCGCGCATTAATTCTGCAATCGTCTGGCACCGAAAAGCACTATCAGAGAGACTGAACTCGTATTGCGCATCCGTTCTATCGAGCCACGTAGTGATGTCTCCGGTTAGGACGTAATGTTGCCTGCCATTCAGGTCCACCGAGGGCCGGAACCCAGCGACGCAATTCCGGTTCCCGGTTCGCGCCTGTAAGAGTCTCCTCATGACAGGTCGACCGTGTCTTGCAGAGTGGGCCACAGACCAGATTCCACGCCGGGCAACCCGCTCCACGCTCTCCACTAAACAAGCTTGTGACCCCTTCTTTCCATGAGCTGGCCTGTGTCTCTGACCTTGAGTCGTCCTGGCCTGTGGCTCCTCCGAGTGCGCTGCTGAGTAGCTTGACGCTATGGGGGCCATCGAAGCTGGCCTGTGTTTCCCCCACCAAGAGCTTTGTCCGTATTGCCACTACGGTGACCCGCCTCGTTGAGCCGTCCGCTCATTGTCGTCCTCTGAGTCACCCAGTTGTACAGGCCCTCGTGGAGGGGTACTTCGCTTCGGGGCTTAATGAGCTTCGTACGAAGAAAGTGCGGCGCGTTAGCCTTAACAAGTTCTCATAGAAAGGGGTACATTCCGCTACAACTATTTTCTCGCCGCTTCTGTCCGACCTCACGAGACCCGCCCTCTGAGCTGCCAACACTACTGACTCCCCTCTTCGTTGTCGACTGTCGTGTCTCTTATCAATCGTTAGGCTAGGTACAGTCGTCGCGTCTATCGTAGTGTTTGTCGCCGTCGTGGTGTCCATTCGCGGTCGCCGTGTACGTTGTGGTCGTGCGCGTCGTGGTGCTGTTCGCTGTGGATGACCTCGAAGGCATTGGTGTGTCAGACTATCCGCCATGTCGGCCACCAGTCGACAGTGGGTTGATCCAGGCAGCAGGCAGGTGTGGCACTCGAAATCTGGCGGTCGCTCGGGGATCAGCTCCGCGTCCTTGTATAGCCGGTACGCATGACCAATTGTCTGATGTCCCATCGCGCAGAGAGGTAGCACGTATTCCGCCTGGTTGGGTAGCCCGCGGCGGTTGATCTGTCTAATATATAACACCGTCGGCATGCTTCCCCCATATGACGTATCGAGCGTTCTGCGAGAGGTAGAGGTCATCGGCGAATGCGTGGAGGTCGAAGCGTTTGCGGACGTAGGCCCACGAGAAGAGCTGAGCGTCGTATAGCTTAGTACTAAAGATTTGTCAGTTCTGCGACGCGGGTAGAGTCCCTACGCAATGTATTGGCAGCTTGATACCTCTAGCGACGGTGATCTTCCCCTGTCGTGGTGACAGGGTAGCGAACCATCGATATAGCCGACAGACGGGGATTTGGCGGAAGCTAAGGTTGGCCAATGGATAGCGGCGTGGGCACTTACATGTCGTCAGCGCGGGAGCTCTTCCCATTCTGGTTGACGATCCTGGTGAGGATAGCCGGCGGGTCGGGTTTCAGCGATGTCGAGGATCTTTGGCTTAAAATCCGCGAAGCTGGTGAGGTTGCGGATCGACAGGTTTGTCTATCACCGTGTCCATTGTATCGGGGAGATCTCGAAAGGTGGTATGAAGGTAACGGGAAAAAGATGCTGACTTCGCTGTTCTGAAACTTCGTCTAACAGCACGTGCAATCTTGGCGCTCAAGGCGCCGGCGTTCGGCAGACTGTTGAGCCGGCAATGGGCGCCGACGTTATTCCGGACCAGCCCAGCAAAAACGTTAACATCGTGCACACGAACGCCGCATAGACCCTGAAATCGTTATAGGCCACTGCAACGAGCACATCTAGCTACACGCCCCGCCCAGTCCTGCATATCTGCTGCTTGAGCATCGTTAACGTTATGTGCATCTGCGGGGTACGCTGGCGCAACCGCACCCCCACACACACTCTGCACCCTCCACTCCCACTCCGCGTTGCCCAGAATCATCTCGCCTTACGCAGTTCACGGCAAACCGAGCAAACCCCCTCCCGGACACATGGTTATAGATATAGCGGGAGAAGGCATCAGCTCATTCGCTAAGGACCGTTGAAACCTGGTACGGAATGAGCAAGTGAATACGGGGGCTAGGAATAAGGGCCGATACATAGAAGCTACTCCACTGGACGGGTGTGTGACCTGCTGCAGCCCGTGCTTCATCTGTGGTTGCATTTCTGGAGGGAGTAATGCATGTCGTCTGGTGTTGGAGTTAGAGGGTATGGAGGGTGCGGCTTCGGCTGGATCTGATCGACGATCCTTGGCGTCGAGGCACCCAAGCCTTGGCCGTGCGCTTCGGCGCAGCCCGACCCCGGCTCGCTCATTCATGAACGCGAACGCTCAGATATATTCTCCCAGCGCCACTCGCTCCTCATGGAGACTCCTACGGAAGGAATTGAGCGGACGCTGTGGTCTAACCCTTTGAAGCGTTCGATTTCTTCTCTCCAAGATACGCAAGCCAACTCACCATCGAAACGAATTCGAGTCATCGAGTGGCTGCGGGGCACTCGAGAACGTCGGCAGTGCCGTGTCGATTGTCCCCAAAACAGACATTTTATTTCTTATTTTTAGTCACTACACCTAGGTGGGGCCAAGATACCGTCCGACTGGCCTTTAAGAAGCACCAAACTTTAGAATGTAGCAGTTCCGTCGTGAAGAAAACGTAGAGCCCTCTGCGTTAGAAGGTGCAGCGGAAGGGAGAACTGCGCCGTGTGCGGCCGTGATGTCTGCCATCAGCTAACTTTAGGAGGCGGTGAAGTCGCCAAACCTAGTTCTCAGCGGTGGAATATCGTCTAACTTGCCTTTTGAGGCAGTTCCGTCAGAGTGGGTTCACCGGAACGCTAGGTGGGTGCCAGGCCCGAATGAACATGCAGCCACTGAACCGGTGAGAAGTCACCATGCAATCGTCTCCTGGATACCATGCATCTCGCTGGATAGCCTTCAGATAAAGCTGTCGACGGAGGCAGATGATGAGGTCATTGGTGAGCTTTCTATTGCCTAGCCCAGATTGGGATTAACGCCAATATTTTGAGCATTGCTGCATGCAACCGTTTGCGTCCAGCTTATGCCACCATTTTGAACCCTCGTGCTTTTAAAGACAATTCCGTTGGCATCGAGTGTCCTTTTCAATCAACACCACAAAGCCTTTTATCATTCCAGAGGGAAAGACATGTGCTATTACGTCGATACAGTTCTTGTTTATTCCGGTTGTACATCCAACCACAGAGTAACCAACCGAGCCTATTCCCTCTGTGACAATCCAAACCCCTTGGGAACGTATCGTCATTGTCAAGATGCTACTCCTGACCCAGGTGTAGTATTGGGTTCCACAAAACGAAACAAGGAATGTCCAGTTTGCAATGGCGAGCGGCCAGAAATGATAGTGGTGAGGTTGTCTGGATACATGGTCCAAAAAGGTCGGCTAATGTACCTAGTCTTACCATTCTAAGTGACCGTCCGGGAAGCTGGTCACTATCGAAGTTAGTTGGAACCATGCTGCTAGAATCATTGTCGTAATGATGCTTACCAAAGCAGCAAGTTCGGTCTGAAGTAGTGTGAGGTCGGCAACAACTTCATCCGCAGAGTTATAAGTGCCATGCCAGCATTTTTCAATAATGTCGGCGACGGGGAGGGTTCCGACGTCTGGAAAGCACCGGCATTTGTAATTTTCCTCCACTATATCGTCGGGTTCATTTTGATAAGGCCGGCTCGCTGTCCAGATTTCATACATGGTTGATCCTAGTGCAAACAGTTCGCTTTTAATGGAAGGATTCTCACAACTGCCGTCACAACGTTGAGATCGGCATTCATACCCCGCTGTGGCAGGCCTCCCGTCAATTGAAGCGCCGCCGAAGTCGCATATCTTGACCTCGTCACCCTTTAAAAGGATGTTGTGACAGCCGATGTCTCCTTGCACGATGCTCTTTTGATGGAGATATGCTATTCCCTCTGCGACTTGGCAGGACCACTTCAAGGCCTGATTGTGCGACGGAGTCTTCCCGTGCTCGTGGAGCTTCTGTAAATGTTTCCGGAGCGACTCTCCGAATCTCTCTAGGAGAATGCCTCGTTGAACTGAGGAGATGTGTTGGCATATCCGTGGATGAGACCCTAGACGCTGGTACACGGATCTCTCGGTGAAGAGGTCTTGAAGGGATTCGTTGGTAGCGTACTTGTTGTTATATGTGGGGGCGATCTTTGCGACGGTGCGCTCGTCAAGGGCGTATACGATGCCTGAGACTCCGATCCCAAGCCAACGAAGACCCGAAGTTTGAAGAACGGGTAGGCTAAGATCGTCGTGCGTGATATGAGAAGCATCTGCGTTAATGAAGCCTTAGCAGAACGGTAGCAAGAGTGTGGAAAGGACCTTACGTGAAGAAAACGTAGAGCTCTCTGCGTGAGAAGGTGCGGCGGAAGGGAGAACTGCGGCGTGTGCGGCCGTGCCGTGGGCGCCGCCCATCACCACTTCTCGATTGTCGTCGGTCTTGTCTCGATAGTTGATGTCGCCCATGTACACCAAGTGCTTCTGTCTGCCGTCAGCTAGCCTTGCAAGGCGGTGAAGTCAGCCAAACCTAGTTCTCGGCGGTAGAATCGTTAAGTCGAGGCCTGATAACCCGACAGCTCAACCGTTGTGAAATGATGCGGATGTGTGGCGAGACTTATAACACATCGGCACGGTTATTCGTCATCCTGCCAAGAATTGCCCCTCGCATTGGGGCAACCGCTCTCCACCACCACGTAACTAGACGCCAATAGTTCAGTATCTCGTCCATCTCCTCCCTCCCCACGCACAGCGATTGGCCCTAGGAGACACACGCCTCTGCTCTAATTCGAGGTCACGCCCTTCGTGAGGCGCATTACAACGTTATTTTACGAACGAGAAGTCCGCGCCGTCCTCGCTGCAAATCTCGCGATTCCTTCCCGGACGATGCTCAGGTGCCGGACACTATGTCAAACGGCTTAAGACTGCGAGACATGAAGACGCAGCAGAGGCGTCTGCGCTCCTGCAGCCCCACTAACAACTACCTACAGTATCGCAACACCGTGCTAAAGCGCGCCAACATCCTCTCCCGCCGACATCGAAGCGCTCCCCTTCTCCCCCGTCCGGGTCGCAATATGGTGCGTGGATATAATCCAGCCGCAGGTAAATCTGGCGATGAGGGTTGAAGGGGAGAAGTTTGATAGGACTCAATGTTGATTTCCGAGCAGACAGTCCCAAGCCATCGTCACTAAATTCCTCTCCTCCGTGCCCGACACCTCTGGCAGACCGCGCCTCTCCAACCGCAAGCTAAACTTTACACTCTCCTTCTCCCACATGTTCTAGACCCTCTGAGAGTTGCTGGCGAATGTGATGTCAGCCGGGTAGCGAACGCGGAGGTGGTCAAACAAACTACCAAGCAGGGCATTGGTTCTTGGCCCTTCGCCCTAGCCCAGGCCGCTCATCTCCCTAAACAGAAAGAGGAAGCACTTGTGGTCAGATTGGAGTATAAGATTACCTGTTTTTGCTTATAGCTTGGGGGTAATCCCTAGGTAGTGTACGTGTAGAAAAGCATGGTAAAGATACAGGCTCTCATTTAGGAGAAATGTAGCGAATAGAGCTGCTGCAGAGTGTCGCGATTGCCGTGACTGCCATAGCTACTGAAGCTGCTAAGAGAGCACTGGACTCGCTCGGTGCTGCGCCTTTAGCTAGCTGCACAATCTGCGAGAATAAAGCTTCCAATCTTTGCTACGACGTGGAATAGCAGACCTGTAGGTATCGAGAAAAGTATTATGCATGCTGCAATAGGAAGCGATATCGTGAGAAGCCTTCAACCTCGGGTAAATCGGGATACAGCCAAACAATAGAAAGCTACAGCGGTAACAAAGACTAAGATAAAGCCTACGATAAAGCATTTCTGAATTGCACCCAGGGTCACAGAAGCAACCATGTCCTGCACCTTCTGTACTTCGAATCGAAGGAATGCGGTAAACGTGGCCGTGTGTATCAGCGTATCCGAAAGGGCCATAAGGAATCATGCCGCGCGGAATTTCACAGCTTGGATGCCTTATTGGCGCGTGTGGGCTTTTCATCCGGGCCATATCAGATCTCAGGTAGCACTACAGCAATCCTCGAGGCGTTCTCATTCCTGAAAGGTTCGGTGCTAGACCGCGGGTTATCGTAAGCATCTCACCCAGCTTGCAGACAAGGGACAAACGAGTGGGGCTACATGTTCCTTCATCTTCATACACTACTAAGACCAAGGAGCTGCTGGCACCGACGACTGATGGCTGGCCCCCGAAGAAGGATATGAACAGTTACTGTAAGAGAAGAGCGCCCGATATGTGCACGCCTCTCAATCAACCATGCTGATGCCCAGCCACAAGTTATCCCGCACTTCCCCTCCCGCATCGACGACATCAGCCAGTTGGACGCTGGGCGAGTCGACGAGTTGCTCCGTCATTTAGAGCAGAGTACTGGCGGGGACCTGGCCCAGCGCAGGACGAGGCTCATGAGAGCGGTGGGGGGGTACATTCGCACGGCTCGGTTGTGAGGGTCTAGGCTCTGCGGCATACTTACTGGCGTTTAGGGCGAGGCATTGTTTGTTAGCACTAGCATTGGGCTAGAGTTACGGATTTGCATGCGGTGGCTACGGAAGCCGACTGGCGAAAGAGGGGCCTCTTTAGGTAATTCACTCGAATAGCATTGGGTACCATTGTTGTCGCCGCTGCTCATTTAGCTGCACTGTGTAGCGGTCGCTGGGTGAGGTGGCTCGTGCGCTGGCGGAGGCTACGTCGATGGCTTCGTCAAGCGAGGGGACGTCGCGCTTTGCAGGCATCGCGCACCGGGCCAGATCCGCCTTCTTGTGTAGACTTGCTGCCATCCAGATGCTGACTTGGACCTGCGCCTCCACGGCCCCACCATTGGGCGGCTTGACCTCAATGCCCGAGAATAGCGCCGCGGCTTGTGTGAAGTTGTCGCTCGTGTGACTGATGTTGGCATTTTGCAGGCGGTCGTAGAGGGCGGCGTATTCCGGGTGGAGGTGGGAGTAGGAGAAGCAAAAGTCGGTCTTGCGGAAGAGATATTTCTCGATGCGTGACGACGGGTCCACGGCTCTCGGCAGATACGCGGGCTGGGTGCTCTGCGATTGTACGCTCTCGCGTCGAAAAGTGTCACGGCCATGCAGCACTAGGGCAAGGTCCAGCAGAGCTGTGTGCCCTGCAGCACAGCCTTCGCCCGGTCGACGATAAGCACAAACTGTTCCGCCGGCCGCTCGTCACTCTCGTCGTAGGCATCGTCGTCGATAGGCTCGTGTACCAAGGCGGTTTGGAAAGCTGGCTCCTTCTCCAACACAGTCCGGAGGCAGGCGGGTATAAATCGCGACGTAAGGCGACGGCCAAGCCTTTGTCGTAATGCACGAAGTCGCGGTGCAACACCGGCAGGAACTGGTATTGAAGGGTTCGAGAGGGGATCTTGTGGGATAGGAGGACGGGCGGTCCTCAGCGGCGTCTAATGCCGTATCGGGCTCGTGGAGCGCCTGCTGCCAGCACTGAGGCTGCTGAGCATGGTCCGCTCGGTCAGCTCGACGACGCTGCCCGCGCACGACACGCTCTAGCCGGGCGCGGTATCATCGTCTCCTTTCCGCCGCTTAGGACTTCCACGGCACATGTGTTGTTGATGGTACGACTCGGGGTTGCTGTCACGTCGACGTTTTCGTCGCTCAGGGTGTGGTCGGTCGGTGGAAGCAGGCCGCTCGATTCCCAACCAGGCGTAGATACGCGCAGTAGTATCGTCGATTGTTAGTGAGGGGGGTAGGGAGCGTCGCGATGTGGGAACTTGAGGACAAAAATGTGTGTATTCAGATGGCGGGCTGGTCAGCCGGTAATACGGATGTCGGACGGACCTCGGCCCGAGCGCCAATCGGCAGGCCAATCAGGGATCGCCAGTCTGGATTGGTGATTCATGATAGCTATGCCTGATCGGAATGCGCTAATCGGCTAATTGGGAAGAGCCGGCTACCCGCAGTAGCCTGCGCCTTCTCTCCCACTTTTTGATCGGACTCGATACAACGGATCCCCAGAGCCTCAAGAATCCGCTGGACTCCACACCTACTCTTCCCACCTTCCCTGTCATCGCTCCAACATGACTCCTCGAAGCGCTGAAGATTCGCCAACGATGCTCCCCCCGCCACCTCCCCCGCCCCCGCCATCCTCATCAAGCGCCCGACGGACGGTGTTCCAGATGCCAGTTTTCAACAACGTCGAGGATGTGGATATGTACCGACCCGGTGGGCATCACCCTGTTAACCTTGGCGATGTGGTCGGACACAAGTTCAAAATTATACACAAACTCGGGAATGGAGGGTTCGCTCTTGTCTGGCTAGCTCGGCATTTGGACCAACATGGATATGTTGCGCTCAAGATCCTGAGAGCAGACGCCCAGGATCGTGAGATCAAAGTCCTAAAGCATCTTAAAAATGCTGCAAGAAACGTTCGAATTACAAACCTCCACGAAACATTTCTAATTCACGGACCGAATGGGGTTCATCAGTGCTTAGTGCTAGACGTTGGTGGGCCAAGCCTTAAGCTTCTTAGTTTGTACTGCAAACGCCCTCCACTTCCATTTCTTAAAGCTGCCACTAGGAAACTGGCAGAAGGCGTTGCAGCCCTTCACTCGGCAGGCGTATGTCACGGTGGTAAGCGCTGCTCCCCGGATTTTTATGGGACTCCTTTAACTAATTAGAATTTAGACCTCACACATTCTAATGTGCTTTTCGAAATTACAGGTCTTCAGGACTGGACAGAAGATGAGATTGATCGCTGCTTGGGACCACCTAAGACGGCTCCACTACTACTCCTCGATGGAACGCCTGCACCAGCATTTGCCCCGACTCATGTCGTTGACGCGCTGGATTACTCTCACCTCAACATGGAACAATTGTCAAGTAATATTCTTATAGTTGACTTCGGCGAGGCATTCTTCCAAGACAACGCACCTAAGGGACTGGGAACCCCTGTGTCCTTCTCTGGTCCAGAGCTGCTTTTTGGGTTCCCGCCGTCGTACGCTGTAGATCTCTGGGCTCTTGGTTGCCTTATTTTTGAGATGCATACATTTCGAGTGCTCATACCCACGGCTTTTGGTTCTTCCGAGGAGGCCCTAGCAGTGGCGACTGAAACAGTTGGAGCTCTACCAGAAGAATGGCGGGATTCGTATTACGATAAAAACAACCCCCTGGAAGCGAATCCAGGCAAGAAACACCGTTGGTTTGATGACCAGACTCAGCGAGCTCGTACCTTGGACTCTCAAATTCTTCAGCAACTGCCGGGGCTCTCGCAAGATCAGCACGCTACCTTTCTCCAACTTCTGAAAAGCATTCTGGTTTTCGAGCCTAGCCATCGTCTCCCTGCCGCGGAGGTTGGAAAACATCCTTGGTTTACATGTGAATCATAATTCAGATACAAAACTGACAGTCGCGGAGCCAATGTTGTCTTGAACTAGGAAGATGACGGGGGACCAAGATTTCACGACGGCAGGCCGAACATCTGCCGCCTGTTTGGCCGCGCTGATTAAGCTTCCTGAGGCACTGCATTATGGAGCCTGGGATGAAACGGCGCATGTCCGAGCAGCGACATCTTCTCTCGTATCTGCCCCAGATCGAGGCCGCGCTGCAGAGTTAGTCCATGTGTCGACTGGGGAACCGCCGCCACATAGAGAACGAGGCCGACATAGCGTGTACGATTACGGAGCTAATTGAGAAGAGCGGAAAGGCCGAAGCAGCAGCGCCGCTGGACGGAAGCAGTCCTCAAGCTGCACAGACGCATCGCTCCCGCCTAGCAAGCGAACGTGTTCAAGCTCTCTAGTAAAAGGTAGAAGGGCGACAGCGAATCGAGTGCACCGCCGTGTTATTGTCCAAGACTACGGGAAGGCCTATCTACAAAGCAAGCTCCTTAACTAGTTTTCTTGCTGCGTTCGAAGGCTGCCTTAACAGGTACGAGTCGTTACACACCAAGGCCGGTATGTTCCAAGGCGATATCTCACCAAGCAACCTTATGGTAAACGAAGAAGATAACAACCCCTTATAGCGCGCGTTCTTAATCGACTTCGACCTTGTAATCAGGGAGCAGCGGGGAAATTCCTCTGGAGCATGGGGGAAGACTAGCACACGGGCGTTTATGGTAATTAGGGCATTCGTTCATGCACGATCTAGAGTTGTTCTTCTAGGTGCTATTCTGGATATGCATTCACTATAACAGACCTAGTAAAGACATTAGGCTAACAGAGTTTAAGTGTTGCAACTACGAGAGTAATTGAAGCTAGCTAAGCTTAAGAAAGGCTTAATGTTACGAGCTGTCCTCTTGACTGAGACCGAGGCTTACTTTCGTAAGGGGAGGCAAGGGGTGTGCTTCGGGCTAGGATCTTCAGTGACAAAGAGGTGGACGCAATGATACTGTAAATCGCAGGTCGCTGTAGCAATTTGATAAAACAAAGCAATAACTACGAGGAGCCGTAAGGAGCGAGCTCCTCCTGGTTATATACAGGTGCCATCTTGGCTGGATTAGGTGCTAAGGCCTGGCTCCTATGGATTAGGCCTAATCCATCTAGCTCCACCTAATCCATTTGATCCACATCACGTGACCCTGATTATTCCTGTGACTCCACACGTAATCCCTTGTCTCGTGACCCTGGGCTTGGCCTGCCGTTTTCTCCGTCCTGGCCTGCCAACTCTGTTCCCAATCCTGTAATCGTAACACCCGCCTCTCCTTCTAAAGCATCGTCCCGACGCTCTGTCCTGTCCCCGGGTGCAGTGTTTTATTGTTCCGCGCTAGTTCTATATAAGAGCAGTGTTGCCTACAGTCCTGTGGTATTGTATTCTCTCTTCCCCTCCCGTCCTTGCTATGCCGCCTGCGCGTACTAAGTCTTTAACAGCTCGCTGTCGCCGTCGCGCCGACCTTGTCCTGCGCACTAGCGTTAATATGTCTAATAACTCTTGCGGCGCTTACTGTTCCTGCAGCCTACGTTGCGTCGTAGAGGTGTCTTCTAGTCGTTGTTTAGAGTGTATCGCGAAGAGTTGGTTCTATAACAAGGTGTTAGATCTAAAAGAGGTAGAGAAGCTAAACTAGCTGTTAACTAATCTGCGTTCTTAGTAGTCTAAAGCCAGCCTTAAGGCGGAGCGCCTAGCCAAGTTGCGGCGGTCTGCTAAGGCGCGTAGCGACCGTCTTTAGAAGCAGTTAGATTTAGTGCGGCGTTATTAGAACGCGCTGCTTTCTAGAGATCTTGCTAATATTAAGAAGCTAGAGTAGTTAGAGCGTAAGGCATAGCAATTCTTATAGCTATAACCTTCTATTTCTCTAGTTAATCTCTTTTAGTCGTTTAACTAGAGTTGTCTAGAGAATCTAGAGTTCTAGTCTTTAGGTTTTAGAGGTAGTGCCGCTAGCAGAACTCCTTAAGTTTCTTAGAGCAGTTCTTAAGGTTCTCTAGTAGTTTCTAGGTGTCTTTCTCTAGTAGGTATCTCTTCTATCTAATCTAGTACTTCTACTAACCTTGTATATACTTTTTATCTAGTATTCTTTTAACCTTAAAGTTCTAGTCTAGTTCTATCTTAGTTTATTTATTAAGTAGTATGTTGTTAGGCGCTAGCTTAAGTTTAGATTTATAGAATATAGAGTGTATTCGTATTATTAGTAGTAGTTTTAACCTAAAGTTAATAGGTCTAAGTTGTCTATTAACTTTAAATAGTCTAATTTATAAGTAATTAAGCTTCTTACTAGGTTATTTAGTACGTAGATTTTTTTATAGAATAAAAACTTTACCTCTCTTCTTAAAGGTTAGTCTCTTAATTCTTTTCTTATTTATTTGTTAAGTTATTTTTTCTACTATTTTCTATAGCTTATTATAGATTATTCTTATCTAGTATTCTTTCTCTTCTACTCTTAGAGAAATTATAGCTATATATATTAAGAATCTATATATTCTAGCCTTATAGCTATAGTATACTTAATAAAGAGTTATCTCTATAGTTTCTTATTTTACTATATTATATACTAGTTATACTATAGATAGTAGCTTAATCTAGTTATTCTATTTCTAGTTAACGTAGTTTCTTAGGTATTCTTCTAGAGTCTAGTTTATTTATTCTATTTAGCTATTAGTCTATAGGTAAAAGCTAGTTAATATTTAATTACTTATTTCTATTTAGCTAAGTAATACGTTCTAGAACTTAGATATAAATAGTTTATCTTTATCTATAGTAACTTGTTCTAGTATTCTATACTAGCTAAATAGCTATTAGCTTACTTTATACGCTAGTTCTTTAGTTTTAAGAGTTTTACTAGTTAGGTAGAAGTATATATATTTAGTAAATTAGTTTATAATTACTAAGATAGTATTATACTTTCTTTATAACGTAGGTTTAATTAACCTAGATAGTTTTATAATAAAGTTTATAGTAACGTGTTACTATAGTACTATAGATAGTTCTAGAGGTTATAGTAACTTATATAATTAATATCTAACTACTTTATTTTACTAGTATTCTATATATTCTTATACTATCTTTATAACTTTTTTCTTTATTACTAGAAACCTATATTCTTGCCGTAGTCTTTTAAGAGTACGTTTAATTTCTTAGTATCTATGCGTTATTATACTATAGAATTTCTAGAGAAATTTTATTTATAGAGCTTCTAGTACCTTTCTTTTCTCTTACTTGTTAGGCGGCTCTAGTCTATCGTTCTACTAGTCTTAAATTTCTATAACCTAGCTAATCTATAGACTATTATATTCTAGAGTTCTATCTAGTTTAGTATAGAGTATAGCTTTATATTTCTTCTTAGCTATTACTATATAGTTAGCTTTCTAGCTAAGCGCGTCTACTACTTTGTTTTTAGTACTCTTCTAGTATTAGATTATAAAGTCTAGTGTAGCTAGTATTTCTACCTACCTAACTTATTATCTATTTAGCGTTTTTGTTATTATAAACGCTATAAGGTTCTTATAGTCTAATACTACGTTAATAGAGTACTTAGCGCCTTTTAAGTATATTCTTTATTTCTTTATTACTACTATAATAGCTATAAGTTTCTTATTATATATGTTATAGTTAAGTTCTAGTACTAAGAACTTTCTTAAGTAGAAGAAGCATAGTTAGTACTTACTATCTTCTCTAGGTTAGCTAAGGTATACCTCTAGTACTCTGTCTAAGATATCTGTTTTAACCTATATAGGTTTGTTTTTGTTAAACGTTTGTAATAGTAGTATAGTAGTAAACGTTTATTTTAGCGTCTTAAACGCCTGTTATTATAGGTCTTTCTACCTAAATTCTTAGTTCTCTTTAGTAACCTCTATAAGTAGTATTATAATCTATAAATATTCTTAGATAAACTTTTAGTAGTAGTTAGCAAATCTAAAAAAGAATTATACTTCTTTTACTATCTAGAGTATAGGCTAGTTTAGAATTACCTAGACCTTATCTATCTCTATCTAAATTCTCTTACAGGTTAGATAAAATTCTAAGTAGCTAGTCTCTATATAGTAGAACTTACTCTTATTAGAAGCTATTAGAAGTCTATACTTTCTAAACTTTATAGCGTTTTTTATACATAGTTCTTATATTCTTCTAGTTCTCTCTTTAAGTACACGAGTACGTTATCTAGGTAGGCTATAGTAAACCTTTCTAGATATTTATATAGAGCTACGTTAATTATACTTTAGAATATTACTAGTACGTTAGTAAGTCTAAATAGTATAACTAGGTATTTATATAGACCTTCTCTTATTCTAAAGGCTATTTTCTACTTATGTTTTTTTTTAATTTATATCTAGTAGTACTCTTCTCTAATATTAAACTTTATAAACTATTATACTTCTATAAGCTAGTCTATTAGTTCTAAGATTATAGGTAGTGGATATTAGTTCTTTTAAGTTACCTAGTTAAGCTGTCTATAGTTAATATATAGTCTTAACTATTTATTCTTCTTTAGTATAAATAGTACTAGTAAGGCTATTAGGCTTTAGCTTTCTTAAATATATTCTTTTTATAGAAGTCTCTCTAGATATCTCTAGAGTTTCTCTCTTTACTTATAGCTAAGTAGGTATATAGGTTCTAGTTTTAGCGTAGCCTTATCTTCTATAGGTATCTTATAGTTCTATAGTTTATGTTTAGGTAGAATGCTATTATTCTATCTATTAAATAATAACGTAAACTTCTTGTAGTCTTTCTTAACCTTCTAAGGTAGTTACTCTATATTAGGTTATAGCTTTTATATCTATACAACGCTAACGTCTTAAGGTTATTTCTTTACTTATTTTATTAAACTTGTAGAGAATATTCTTCTAATCTTTACCTCTAGCTTTTAGTAAGCTCTTAGGTAGTGTCTTGCTCTAGCCTTCTATACTACTCTAGGCCTTTTCTAGAGTTTTAGCCTAATCTAACTAATATTAGAGTTATATCTTTATAGCTAATCTAGCTCTAGAAGTATATTTATGTTTTCTAGTTCTATAATATTATAGAATTATTATTTCTATATTCTCTAGACATCTAATACCTATGTCTTAGTCTCTAAGTAAATCTATTCTTAGCTAAAGGTAGGTAGCTAGTTATCTATAAGTTATACTTAGTAGAGTTATTATTTCTCTTAAAACAGTATATTCTATAGTTTTACTAAGCTAGTAAAAATATATATTTTTACTACTCTACTATCTATATAGGCTATAAACTTCTTACTTTCTAGTATAGCTTTTACGCGTAGCGTTCTAGATTTTAGAGTAATAATTTTACCTATAGTCTAAGTAAGACCTTCTAGAGCTAGACCTCTACCTTAGAGGTCTACTAGTTTTTTAACTTTAAGAGAGTAGCTAGTGCTAGCTCTTATTTCTTTTCTACTATATATACTAGGTATTGTTCTAGTAAGTATATAGTCTAATAAAGTTTTATATATTTATTCTTAGCCTTTTTTCTATAGTATAGGTACTTCTATTCTAGAAAGTACTATCTATAGTTAAGCGTGTAGTAGTTAGAATATTAGGCTATCTATTCTATAGTTTAGTACTATTTCTAATAATATTAGTATTCTATAGTATACTAATTCTATAGTTTAGCGTAGTGTTCTTTACTATAGACTTTCTTAACTAGTTCTAGTATTACTATTTAGCTAGTATTTCTAGAGCGTAAGTCTATATACGTAGCTACTTAAATTTCTTCTTTATCTAGTCTCTATATACTAATAGCTATCTTAACTACTACTTTACCTTCTTCTCTATAGACTACTAGCAAGTAGGCCTAGTAGACGTAGTTATAACCTAGATAGTCGCCTTTATATAGCTAGCATAGCTTCTACTATAGGCGTGCTTTAATCTTCTAGTTATATAGAAATAGCCTAGAGAGTTTCTTTCTCTATAATAGTTTAGTTAGGTGTACTCTATAGAAGGGGTTCTAGTACTTACTTCTTCTAGCGCACCTTAGTTACTACTACTTAGCTTTTCTAGCTCTTAGGTAGTTTATAGAGAATTCTTAGTATATTTTCTAGATATATAAATATACTTCTTTATCTATAAGGTATTCTACT